GGGCTGTAAACAAGTCTCAGTCCTTCCTAGGAGGTTGCGGAGCCCCTGGGTGCAGATTCAGGGCTCGGCCCCGCCCCTGCCCAGGCGCTGCACACAGGAGGAGATGGTGGCTGTGGCTGAGTCCTGTCTCTCTTCTTGAGAGAAGTGCCAGTAATGGCAGCGCAGGTCTGAGGAGACAAGGGCTACGGCACCCCTCCCCCCAGGGCACACCAGCCGTGTTGCTTTGCTTTTTTCGCAATTTATGGGGAACGAAGGTTGTTCTGCTCCGTATCCCCTCCCAGCCACAGCACACAACCCCCTGCAGTCCCCCCAGGGCTGCCTCAGTGCAGCCGCCCCAGTCCTCTGCCCGACTCGGGCAGCCTGTCCCGGCTCCAGCTGCTGGCTCGCATCTAAGGCTGGGTGTCGAGGGGACCCTTTGTGCCTGTTTAACTCAGTTCTATCAGCCAAGGGGTGCTCAGGGCAGATCTGAGCCTCGGAGGCTCCCCTTCCGTTCCACTGGCCTCTCTATTGGAGGTGGGGGACCCAGCGAATGAGCGCCAGTCCTCCTTTGCCGCTCCCTCCCCACGGGACCGGTCCACACTGTTTTGCTTTATCTCCTTTGTTTTTTCCTTTTCTCCTACCAGATTTTTGGCGTCTTCGTCTTTCTATGAGGGCGATGTTCTGTCGGAGTTCGGCAGGTGCTCTGGTTGGCTGAGTAGGTCCGTAGATGTGAGTTTTGGTGTATTTGTGGGAGAGGGTGAGCTACAAGCATCCTTCTACTCTGCCATCTTGCTTCTCTCTTCCCCAGGAACAAACATTTTTTTAAGCAGTTGAGGGGAAGTCAAAGTTTCTTCCTGAGCCTTTTGGGCCTTAATTGTTTTTAGCTCAAAATAATATAATCTTCATGCCAAGGAGACATTTTGGGGTGGCAAGTTTTGCTCTCCTGCACTATCAGAGTGTTGAGGACACATCAGAAATGCCTTTCTAAAGTTACTGCAAAGAACAGGGATTCTCAGAAGTAGCATAAGCACATTTTCTATTTTGCCTCTCCAGCCAGACCACCTTGAACCATATTTGAGTCATCATAACTGTGTGAATACATATAAATATAGTCCTAATACATCATTTTTCTTGATCATGAGTTTTATTTATACAAAGATTTTCCTTCATAATACTTTTGGGTCACACAAACAAAATCTATTTGCCCTATGTAGTTTCTGATCTCTAGATTTTAGTCTAACACCTCTGGGTTTACAAATACATGTTTTTGTTGTGAGTCACCACAAAGCATATGGGAAGCAAGTGGAGTTTAATTAAAATAAATAAAATTACATGCTTGTAATCATCGACCTGCAAGAAATTAGAATATTGATGGGTCGGCTGTGATGAAATTAGGGAGAACCGTGAAATTAGTCACAACACCCTGTCTGAAAATGTTTCTCTCTATTTAAAACAGCAATGAAATCAACCCAAAGAAGAAACACATCGATCAACCAACCATTCCGCAACCTACACCCTCCATCTTCAAACTTATTTTTTTCCTAAAGGAAAAATCACAGAAATTCTATCTGGGTTTTGTTTTAAGTCCCAAATCCTTTATATGAGTGTCTTACCTTGTTAGTGAAGATAAAACTCATACTTAATTAGAATTTATCAGACAGCTGTTATATGTGGCCCTCCCTGAGTTATTTTTAAGAGATCAAAATAGGACTCACATCTGACATCCCACAATAGTTACTGAGATTGTAGCTGAAATGCTGATTTGGGCAGCTGACTGTACTGCTTACCTTGCAAAGCAGGGTCTGGAAACAGTTCTGATTTAACCTCACTGTACCAACCACTGTAAACTCCTTCCATGAGTAGGATAATAATTGCCACTGTAATTGTTGCCCTAAAAGTGGAATAACTACAACACAGCCATTAGAAAATAATATATGATTGTCTTAAGTGTATGCATGTGTGCTGACAAATTTAAGGAGACAGCTGAAGCTAAGCAGTGTCCATTTTTCAGTGAGTGTAAGGATACATGTAAGAGTCTATTATGATGGAAATATGACCCCTGTTGCACAAAAGTGCTTAACAGTGATTATTAGTATGCAGTCTTCATAACATCTGAGCAGACCACGCATGGGAACACTGGCACCATCCTTCAGCTTAACATTGCCCTTGAATTATTGTCTGGAGAGCTGTGTTTTTTTTTTTTTTCTCAGTCATTCTTGTATTAAAATGCCTATTTCTCATCTCAACTAGAGTCTTCTGAAGTCAGGAACTGTATTTTATAAAATCTCTAGACTCAATATAGAGCCTAATTCATGCCATGCACAGACAGACAAATCTGCTTAAGATCTATTTGGATTTCATTTTACAGTTAGTATACAAAAATACGCCTTTGCTCACTGAGTTGGAATGTCATAGTTAAAAAATAATACTTATAAATGACAATAGTCAAAGGAGGCACATTACTCAAAGCTAACTATCTCTGGGTCCCCAAAAGGCTCTTTGTAAAGTAGGAATTTAAAAATATATATATATAAAATATATACATACATATATATACATATATTATATATGTATATACGTATATATACATACATATATTATATATATACACACACATATATATACTTGAATCAGAAATTTTAACAACCTGTATTTCAGTATTCTGTCAACTGCTCCAGAATTGTTGGCATTGTTACCTAGTATAAAGAACACAGAACTAAACACATTTCAATAGAATCTTAATCCACTGCAATTTCCAAAGAGATACATTAGAATGGATTTTGTACCATCAGATGCCTCCATAAAAATCTATGCAAATTAAATAACAGAATGCAGACTTGGATATATTCTGATTTTTCAAGAAGCAGAAATACTTCCAATTGAACTCTCTCACCTAGTGAGCTGATTTTAACTTGTTGATCATATTTCAAACAGAAAGTTAAGATTCATCTAGGAGTAATGATAACGCTTTTATTGTGGTAAGTAGATTGAATCAGATAATGCAGTATAATTTGTAACAAGTTCTTATGTTTTCTATAGGTGGATAAGCGGAGCAGCTGTCGTCAATGCATTTTATTCTTCAGGCAGAAATCAAATAGGTAAGGTCTATTCCTAAATAATTCTTTAATATTTCTCTGTTGTTCCCAAGCTGTAGTGTGTTGCATGACCAATTTGTAATACTCCCCATAAAAGCACAGCTAAGGCTGAGTTACTGATTTATTGAATATCCTCCTTGAAAGTAAATGCATCCATGTACCTCTTTTCACTATAAAAGCAAAATTTATATTAGTATAAATCACATTAAGTAGTTTTGTTTCTTTTACAATATTCTATTTATAGGTGAATGGTTTATCTTATTTCCAAGCACTTTTCTTTTATTTCTGAATACTTTTTAAAAGTCCCTTATATCTGCATAAAGTTATATTAACTTAAGGACTCTCTAAGCATCATCTTAAGTGGTTTAAGTTTCCAAGAACCAAATTTTCAGAGATCCAATTTTCCTGTCAATTCTGTGTGCTGGCTCTGATAGAGATAGTCTGTTCTGTATCATCTTTTTTCCTGGAAGGCTCCAAGGGGCTCAGAAAGTTGAAAGTCAATTATGCTAGTTTGAACCATATGAAATTGTACTTACTTAACCAAAAAAATTTTAATCAAAAAATTTTATATGTTCACTAATAGTGACATCACAAAAATATGCCTAAAAATTAATACATAAGTGAATAATATAATGAATAATGAAAAGACTTAATATAACAAAGATATATATTTTTCTCTTCCTGGGTATACCTTGACATCTTTAAATTCTCTCTTAAGTATCTCATAAATAGATGCATTTTTCCCAAAGGGTTTTTAGTATGTAGAAAGGCACTCAACTGATAAAATAGTACCAGAAGTATTTTGAACAAACAGTACAGCCAGCTTCTCCAGGTGTACTCAGTTTAGTATGTCATTTCTAAGTGTGGTCAAGAATCAAGAAGGAAGATAATTTCAGTATTATTCTACTACTCTTTTTATATCTCAGAGTCTGCCTGAAGCCTCATTTTTCTTGAATTCTGTTATTAATTACATTAGAAATTACGAAAAATCCTATATGATTTTCACCATTAAGTTAAAAAATAAACTTAAAAGAAATTGTAACCCTTATTTTAAAGTTTGATTATTATTTTTAAAGCTAGGAAGTGTTCAAATTAAGAAGCCATCCACATTTTCTTCTAGTATTTTTTATAGATTTTTATTTTTGGAGCAAATCTTCACTAATACAACATTGTAAATCAACTACACTTCAATTTAAAAGATCTTTAATCCATCTGGAATTTATTTTGGTACGTGACATGAAAATGAATTATAATCAGAAAAAGTTTGTCTTTATGCCTATAACATAGGTAATAAGTAAAGCATGTGCACTGGGTTAAAGTCAGTTAGCTCAGAGTCTCCCAGCTAGTGAAATGATTACCTAAACCCAGATCAGAGCCTATTTAATGATCAACTCAGAACCCATGCAGTCTATCCTTTGTAAGGTATTCCTAGAAACCATTCAGACCTTTTCTTAGAAGTACCTGTATCTCTGGAGAGTCTTTACTTTGAAGATCTCTTTTTGATTTTCAGTAGTTCTGCGAGTGTAAGATTTAGTTTGTTCTAGACTTGGACTTAAACAGGTTAACTAACTTTTAATGGAATCCCACAGTGAAGTGAGGCAGCCTGGATTCTGCATTAGGACAAACTAAGGGATATCACTTCATTTTGATTCAGCTCAGGATCCCGTCAGAACTTTGTGCTGATTCATCACCATAAGAAGAGCCAGAGAGATTTTCTGTAGGACCACTTTGACACGTTTATCCCTCTAGCCCTTCTCCAGGGCAGGTCCACACAGTTTAGGTCAAGATAGTGCTTGTTTGGTTTTGAATTACCCCATATCTTTGGAGCTGGCTCATAATTGGTCTACCTTAGAGATTCCCTAATCAGAGAAAACCTGGGAATGTTCTTACTTTGAACTTAATACCCTCAGACCAAACAAGCATATGGCAAAAGGAAAAAGAAGGTAAAAGTGGCCCAACATTTTACAAAGTAGACAATTATTTTCTGAATAATCAAGAATTGGCTGTGGTAAGCATTCTTAATAAATAAGAAAGACCTTTTAAAGATGCTCAAGTTAAATTCATCTGATGGAAATATGAAATCCGAAAAATTGTTACCTCTTTTCATATGCTTATCTGCTAATAACAGCAGTTCATAGAAAGGGAAAGTGTCATAGAAGAGGAGAAATCTTTGACATGTGTAAATTTTCTCCTTGACAGTTCATTTAAATCTCCAAAGTGGGGATTGTCTTAAAGAAAAGTAATTGAAGATCCAGATCTCCATCCTTCTTCTTGATAAAAGTGTGTGTGTATTTATCCATACCTAGATATACAACTTTTGCAATGCTATCTTAACCAATTTAGTACCATGTGCATTACAGAATTAGTATTGGTATAGAACATCATGTGTCTCATAAATGACCCTCCACCTTTACACAAATACTCTTAAATTAGATCACATAAAATTTCTCATGGGCTTTGTCTTTTTATGTTATGATGAAAAAAAAAGAACTTGTTTTATTATCATATAAGGAATTATTTATATTAAAAATTTCTACTTTTTAATTTAATTCCCACCACTTTTTTGTGAGAACTCACACAAATAAGCTACATTCAAATTTTTATGCACTTCTCTACTTCACATCAATAAAAAGAAGTTATCTTCCAGGACAGGAAGGCATACTGAAAGTGTGTAACTTACCGGTTTCTATTCTTTGTGTAATGGACCTTTAGAGACCTTCATGCCATTAGGAAAGCTGCCCTTGAATGTTTTGTCAAATGTTTATCTGTAAGTTCCAGGCACTATTCAATAATTTCATTAAACCCTCATGTCTTGAACAAGGAAATAATCAAGTCATAATGGGAAGTCTTACTGCTGGTACATTCTCCTCTTTCATTAACAATCAAAAATTATTTTTCAATCTTAGGATATTTATGGATTATTCAGTGTTTTCAGCCTAGGTTATCTATAACTAACTTGACATAATTAAATTTTCTAAAATTGTCCTATTCTTAGGAGTCTTATTTTCAGACTTGGGAATTAAGAGTAAATATTTCCAAACATATTGCTATTCCATTTAATATAAAAATAATGCTTAATTTCTCCCACCAGAATTTGATTTTACTTGATTGCAACTTGGGCTTTACATCAAAGATTCTAAAGTTGAATTGTTTTCAGCCTTAAAAAAAAAAACAAGGAAATGAGGAGGGCAGTGTGGGGAGAGACACAGTCTTTTGTTTCATGAACCAATTTAATTGTTGACAATCATGAACATAACAAATGCACAGCTAAGCAGTTGGTTATGAAGAGTTTGGTGTCTACTAGTAACAGCGATAAGGCTAATGGGGAAAATCCTCACCATAGAGATTTAGCTGACAGAGTCAAAGGAGAAATCATAATTTGCAAAGTTGAACGTGAAGACTAGTATTTAATGTAAGCCATAAAAATCTTATCACTTGCCTGAGAATGGCATATCCAGGTATAATTAAAGCAGCAGGATCTTTACAGTTACTGTGTAGTCTTGATAGCACGTTTCATAAGAGCATTTTATATAATGGGTGGATTTTAATCAAAGTACATGGTGTGGGAGATTGTATTCACTTTAAGTTAATACAGTACTGCACATAATTTTTATACTTCAAGCTAAAAATAATTTCTTGGCACCGTTGATGCCTCAGGCAGCTACATGTGAGGTATAATGTTCATCAAATTCTCCAAGGACAAAAGTATTTATATATTTTTATTTTGTCATTTTGAATGTTATGACAACTTTCCAGTTTCTTTATTTTTAAGATCTAGAGTGCACTTAAATTGTCCAGCATATTTTAAAATGTCCTGTCTAAATATCTAATATTTATCCCTGGAACCTTTGCTAGGCTCTAGCATACTCACCACCCCTCCTCCACCTGAATGACAAAAAAACAAGATTTGCTACTCTGTATTAATTAGGTCTAAAATTTCTTAAGGTCAAGGACTTTCTGCTGTACTCTCCATGTAGCAATGCCCCAGGGCTTTGCAAGTAACAAGTGTTAATATTAATTATTTTTTCAATTACATAATGATGTTTCAGTGGATACTAGAATTTTAGAACATGAAAGATAAAATTACAAAACTATGGGTGATATGAGGGAAAGGGAGGGCATGTGTGTGGAAATGTGGGAGACCATGGAGACAATGGCCAGGAAGAAGATGCTGTATTTAGTTACAGAGCAGTGATAAGCTATCCAAGGTGTTTTTGTAGGGTAGTGACAATGACCACAGTGGAACTTTAATCTGGCTACAGGATAGATTAAATTCAGGATAGATTAAATTCAGGATAGATTATAGTTGGGTGAGACTGGAAGTATGAAGATGGATTAGGAAATTAAGTAATTCTTAAGGCCTGAGAGTGTGAACTAGGAAGGGGTAGGACGACTGATAGGAGGAGATAAACATGAGATGCTACCAGAACGAAGGTACATGGCCTGATCTTTTCCTAAATAGATTGTATAAAATTTTGTAAAACAAAGGAGACATCGAAGATAAACAGAAAATGTTCACTTTGGGTGGCTGAGAGTCTTCACATGCCATTAGCAGAAATTATAATGTCAAAGTGATGGCTTAGAAAGGAAAATGATGAATTTGATGTTTGACACATGAAATTTATATAGTGTGAGACATCTTACATGTAGAAAGTTAGCAAGTTAAGACAAGTGTTAGAGTAGATGTAAAAATTATCGTTTATTTATTTATTTACAAAATCTTTAGGACACCATAGGAAATTCAGTCATTCATTCATTTATCATTGATTATTCATTTATTCCATACATTTCCTGAGCACCTATTATGTTCCAGGCTTCATCTAGTTTTAGGTTCTAGAGATAATCAACTGAAAAAGCAAATGGACTCAAAAACAAACGAACAAATCTCTGCTCTCAAAGAGCTAATATTTGAGGTGCTTTGGAGGCAGACAAGAAGAAGAAGGGCCACCAACCATAAATAAATAAGTAAAGAGTCATACATGCCTGGATGAAAATTAAACAAGGTTGTGTGATTGGGGAACTCTTCAATTGAGTGGCTCTGTTTATTTACTAAGCTATTGTAGATGGATAAAATGTTAGAGACAGTAAAACTAATACTTTCTGTTATTAAGTAACTATTTCTCCCAAATATTTGCAATGGGGAAGAGACCTTCTGAATGAAGATGATCATTTTCCCTTGTTCTTAACTCCTTATAGCAAAAAACAATCTCAATGGATATTGTAAAGTGAATTGGGAACATAAACCATAGGTTATGATGCCACTCTGGGATGAACTCTTTGCTGTCATCAATAATAAAAGACCTGCATTTGTTTCTATCGTGGAAGATTTTTGTATACAATTAAGTGAAACCAACATACCGGAAAACAGCTTAGTAGGCAAGAAGCCAACCCCAGGCATGTCGTCTGCAGAATAAAACCACAAGTAGTCTCTAACCATCTTCTTTCCTTGCAGTCTTTCCAGCTGGCATTCTGCAGCCTCCTTTCTTCAGTGCTCATCAGCCTAACTCATTGAACTACGGGGGCATCGGCATGGTCATAGGACACGAAATCACCCATGGCTTCGATGACAATGGTAAAGTACAGCTGATGCTTTTCTTTGGCTGAGATATATCCTAGTAAACCTGATCAAGAGTTATTATAAGAGGGGAGGGCTGGCTCAGTGGTAAAGTGTGTGCATAGCATGCAGGAGTTCTTGTGTTCAATTCGAAGTACCTCCATTAAAAATAAATATATAAATAAGTAAATAAATAAACCTAACTACCTCCTCACCCAAAAGAACCCCAAAATAACAAAAAAGTTATTGTAATTTATCAATACAAAAACACATTTATTCATCAGCATATCACTGGCCTAATAATCACCACACTTTTAGTATTCCTTACAAATTGTTGGTTGAGAAGATCAGAAATTTCTAAGAGTGAGGTTAGCAATATGTGCTTTATATTCTGACAGAATAAAACATATATTCACATTGAGAAAACACTGTGATGTATTTTCAGCACCAATGGTAATGTCTGGTCTTATGATCATTTGTGTCTTATCTCACTAGACAGACTTTTAGATGATAGGGTCCATGTCTTAATTACATGTAAACTCTGAAAGTAAGATGCCCATAGGATTCTTAAACTGCTTGTGATCAGAGACTTTTTCTTTCTTTCTTTCTTTCTTTTTTTTTTTTTTGCATCTTACACCTACTACCTAGTTCAAGGTCTTGCAAACAGTAGGCAATTAATGTTTATATGCTGCCCCGAATGGCAAAATAGATTTAGAGTTTCATTGAAATTTGAGAGGACTAGAAGTAAGGACATGAGATAAAGAGGTACTAGCTGATGCTATAACAAAAATCAGTTCCCAAATGGAAAGACAATAAAAAGAGAACAGCAGAGAGAAAATAATCAAGCCTTAATCCAATTTTTGAGAGCCCAGGAAGACAAGGAGACAGGAAGGACATACTAAGCGTCTGTTAACTCAATTAAACTACATAGCAATCTTCACAGGTAGGTGTTAATACTCTTTCCATTTTTCAAGGAGAAAAAATACAGAGAGACATAAGACGTGCTCAAAGCTACAAAACTGGGAATCGGTGAGCCAGGATGTGGGGTCAGGTGGTTTGTCTTTATACCCCTTTTCATAGACAACTGTTTAAAAGATGATAAAAATTAAGTGTCAGACATATGATACATATAAATGTTGCTGAAGCTCAAAAAGGGGGAAGATCAGTAGTTAGGATCAGCAAGAAAGCTCCAGGGGGAAAGGCAACTTTTCCCTTGTGCTTGAAGTACCGGGAAACAGAGTCCACAATGTCTAATGAAGGGTTTGAGATATGAAATCAATGCTAGAGTGCAATATTGACCTCTGTAAAATCTCATAACATCAAGTTAAACAGACTTGGTTCAGGTGAAAACTGTCCAAGAGAAACAAGTCATGATTTCAGGAGTGTTTATCTGGTGGCCTTGGCGGAGACATCAAGAGCCAAGTGGGTGAAACGTCTGGGTTAATACTAAGGCATATCAGCAGAGAGCCCCAGCAGTCCGGGTTTCATCAGCTCTGGGTGAGAAAGGAGAACAGTTTCTCTCATCATCTGTGCAATTTAATGTTCTCTCACACAGTGGTATTTCAGTCCTTGCGCTTTGAATTAAAGATACCTTATCGCAATTCCTGACATAATGAGTTCTCATTTTACTTAAATAAATATATTTCAGGCAGAAATTTTAACAAGGATGGAGACCTCGTTGACTGGTGGACTCAAGAGTCTGCAAATAACTTTAAAAAGCAATCCCAGTGCATGGTGTACCAGTATGGAAACTTCTCCTGGGACCTAGCAGGTGGACAGCATGTATGTTATCAGCACTCTCCTGAAAAGTTATATTTAATCTTGAGTGAATTGCTGATGCTTTCTTAATAATCCAAACACCGGTAAGGGTCTTTTAGTGGTTTTTTTAAATTTTTTGTTTTTCTTAACAGCTCAATGGAATTAACACACTGGGAGAAAACATTGCTGATAATGGTGGTATTGGCCAAGCATACAGAGTGAGTAATAATATTTTCTTGCCATTTTAGTGGTTGGAGTGTATATTGATCATGTTTAATCATTCACTTAAAGATTTTTGCAAAAGATTCATATAATGTAAGGAATAAATGATAAACAGAAAATGAAAAATACATAAGGAGAAAGAGAAATATGCTAACCAGAAGGGGCAATACAGTTGAAGTGATTGAGCTGAATATCAGTCTCTAAGCTTCCAAAAAGGCAAGGAGAAAAGGAAATACAGACTATTATAATGACAGAATTGAGGAGCCATGTAAATTCTACAGAAGAGCCAATGTTTTTCTAAGAAATAATCTCTGAAATACATCTTTTTAGAAAAGCTAGTCTATAAAAAGGATTATTTCAGAGTCATTGATTGATGGACTGAGCAGGACTCTTAGTTTCACAACAGATGAAGCAGTATTTGGAAGCAATAATCAACATAAACCACCGGCATAATATTAAACCATAGTCCAGTTACAATGATAGTGAGGGACTGAAGTGAAATGGTTCCAGCATGTGGTTGTGCAGTAGTCCAAACCATTATACTCAGAGGGATATATTGTTGGAGCATCCGTTAGAATCACATTCAGGCTTCCATTCATTTTACCATTCAGCAATACTTGTTGAGTGTGTTTGGCACTTTCTTGGTGCTGAAGATACAGCTTTGAACCCTACATAAAAGATGTCATTATTTGATGATTTGAGTGAAAATTAAAAATGGCCTAGTGGACATTATGTACATGAGAAAAAGTATGTATTTTCAGAAAAGAGTGGAAGAATAATGGTCTTGGAAGCAACAAGGAAGAGTGAGCATGATTTTGAGTCATTTTCCCAACCCTAAAGTAGCCCACATGTGGAAGAAAAAGCAGGGTCTACTTGAGAGGGTATAGGGGAACAAGGTGTCTGCAGGGTAGAACCAGGTCCTGAGACAAAGATGGTTGGAATATTCAGTGGAGCAGATGAGGATGTAGGGTTGGAGGGCTGGAGAGCTTCATTGGTTGGGTCAGGAAGGAGGGACTATCAGAGCCATGTTGGAGAGATGACTGATAGGACATGTGACTTGAGAGTGACCCTGGATGATCAAAGTGTGAGTCTTGGGAGATTAAGCTGGCTGCAAAGTTTCCAAAAGAATGAGTCCCAGCCAAGTCCTGGAAGATGGTAGATTACTGCTTCTTTAAATACTTAGAGATTTTTTTACTGGGTGCCAGACATTGTGCATTTTTTCCTCTTTGGGTGTTGGATATTTTTGTTTTCCTATAAATACTCTTGAGCTTTATTCTAGGATGCAGTTAAATTCCTCAGAAATGGTTTGATCCTTTTGGGTCTTGCTTTTACAACTCGTAGGCATGTCTGGGGTAGTGCTCAACCTAGGGATAATTATTCTTCGCTGCTGAGTCAAGACCCCACTATGTAATCTTGAGGTCTTCCATTCTTGTCTTGTACGAGTACCAGACTCATTTTTATCACTTTTATCTCCAATCCTTTTCTGCGGTTCCTTCCCTATCCTGGGTAGTTTGCTGACATGCATATTTATATGCCAGCTGAATACCTGAGGGAGCAATTTGATCTCTGAGATTCTTTTTCTCTGCAGCTTTCTCCTCTTTAGTACCCTCTCCTTGGTGTCACTGAACTCTCACCCACTCAAGGAGTCCCTCGGACTCCCACTGCGGTTTCACACTCTACTTTGTGGCCTGAAAATGCTCAAGGCTGGGGCAATCATAGGGCTCATTTTGTTTGTTTACTATCTCCTAGAGATGACTTTCCTTTTTGTCTGATGTCCAGTGTCATGCAAACCGTTGTTTAATGCATTTTGTCTATCATTTGGTTGTTTCAGTAGGAGGGTAAACTCAGTCCCTGTCACTCCGTCTTGTCTGGAAGTGGAAGATACTGTTTGCTTTTAATATTCCATGGTGATTCTAATTCATAGCCAAATTGAGAATCACTGCTGTATAAATCTGGCCAAAGTCTGTATTAAGGGTATTTCCATAGAGATCTTCACATAGAACCAGTACAGAATTATAATAATGAAGCAAATTACAGTTGTGCAAATATTTTATTATACATGAAATCTCAGAATGTCACGCTCCCTGCTTGATTGTGAGCTCCTTAAGAGGAACAGGCTCAAGCCTTTCCCATATCCCCAGCATCTTTGCACAGTAGAGACTTAATAAATCTATATTGATGGCAAGTAAGAAGAAATGAAATATATCTTCTGCATATCTAATTATCACCTTTCTTCATATTAAATTGAAACTAACACATCTCAGAAAGTTATTGTCAATCCCTTTCTTAGGTATACTTAGTAAAGGAAAACTGCATTTTTCAATAGTGTCCACAAATCCTTAAGAATTAAGAACATTTTCTGGCACTCAAGTAATCTAAATTTCTTCTTCCTAATGTCACTGAGATTCAGCCTGTTTTGCCCTGCCTTCCGGGGACCATAATAATTGCTCATCCTTATTCTTAGAATCATGGGATGCTAGGCCTCTAAGGGATCTTAAGAGAATCATTTGACTTCTGGCAAGAATCACTCAAACTAAGTCTGGTGTGAGTCTCTTTTGCTGAGAAAAGTAACTAAACAAGGATAGTGATTGCAGACTCCCTTGGCAATCTTTTCTTCCACATACCTAGACATATCCATCTATAGAACAACATTTATTTAAGTTTTTCATCACTTATTTAAGTCATGCTTTCATCTAGCTGACATTTGTTGATCATCTGACATATACTCGTCTTTTACCTGTTAATCATTTATCTTGTTCTTTTCAGAGAGTTTGTAAGTAAATTCTAGTCTTTCTAATTCATTGAATAGTTGTAGTTTGCTATATCTAAATGTATTATTATGGTGATTCTGATATAAAAGGTTAATTACTTGATTACATGTTCTTTGCATAGACTTATGTATAAGTTTAGAAACTATAAACATCATGTTTCTATTTCATTAACTGCCTAGGCCTATCAAAATTATGTTAAAAAGAATGGTGAAGAAAAATTACTTCCTGGACTTGACCTAAATCACAAACAACTGTTCTTCTTGAACTTTGCCCAGGTATTGTATCTTTCTTGATTGATAGATATGAAAATCATTTTGAGTTATAATTTCATCGTAAGTTAGATGTTGCATGCTGAGTTTTCTTGTTTTAATCAATTGTGGCAGAGCATTTGATTGACTAACTTTCATTATGTGTAACAGACTGTCAGATCAGATTAATGATAATTATGTTCCTGGTTGCCTATTATTGAACCTTATTTGAAGAGTAATTGGCTGAGCAATGCAGAATTCCAATTTAATTATTGCAGTAGGAAGTTTTTTTGCTAGACTGTCCAAACAAATAATCCTTGATGGAACCTAAGTACGTTGCTTTTGTTTTTCTATTCCTATTTCCTAGGTGTGGTGTGGGACCTACAGGCCAGAGTATGCGATCAACTCCATTAAAACAGATGTGCACAGTCCAGGCAACTTCAGGTGCGTGAGTATGAACAGCTGTGAAGGTGCTCCAATACTGTCTCCATTACTTCAAATTCGGAGGCCTTTTTCCAACTCGAATTCTATAAAGTTTGGAAATCCAGTGCTTTTCACTCGCTTGCCCTTTCTTCCTCCCTCGCTCCCTCCCTTCCTCCCTTCCTTCCTTCCTTTCTTATTATTATATAGTCCTAATTATTTTTGAAATTCTTTTGTATTTCTTCTTCCAGTTTTATTGAGATATAATTAACATATAGCACTATGTAAGTTTAGGGTGTACAGCACAATGAGCTGACTTACATCATGAAATGATGACCATGATAAATTTATTGAACATCCATTATCTCATATAGATACAAAATAAAAGAAAATGAAAAAAAATTTTTTGTGTTGAAAACTCCTAGGTTTTACTCTTTTAACTTTCATATATAACATACAGCAGTGTTAACTATATCTATCATGTACATTATTGCTCTAGTACTTGTTTATCTTATGATTCATAGTTTGTACCTTTCAACTACCTTCAGCCAGTTCCCCTTCCCTCCACCTGATCACAAATCTGATCTTTTTCTGTGATGTATTTGTCTGTTTTTGAAGTATAATTGACATACATCACTATGTTAGTTCCTGGTACACAGCATAGTGATTCGATGGTTTTAATTTTTTAAAGTTGTGTTTTTCCTTATTGAAGTCTTCAGAAATTAAGGTCTAAGAATATAATTCTGAGGATAACAGAGAGCACTTATAAACTCACACAAACCACCATAACAACCTAATTTGTCAAAG